TATATAATTTTAGGGTTATTAATGAATTCTATTTGTCCCCAGTTACTAATTTCTTCCCAGTCTGTTCTATTCATATTCTGTTCTATTCTATTTTCATTCTGTTAATGAATTTCTGTATGTCTCCAGTTACTATGAGTAATTCAAGCATAATCTCTGATTATTTATATTTGTATATCTCCTTTGTCTACACAGTCTAACATGGATTTTTCTCCCAGTATTAATTACCCAATATTTCAAACAGTTGTTCAGAGTGGTGTTAGTTGAGTCCAGTGGGCAAAGAATCAATAAATCTAGCTAAGTAATGATACTACTTTTGTATAATCAAAGCAATCAGCCATTAACAATATTTGCCTTTTTAAAAACCTTTTTGGTTAAAAAAACATTGTTTTCTTAACATTAATGTTTACATTAAGGTTTATTAATGGGGATTACTGAGAAGTTTTTAGATAAAGGGAGATTTAATTGTTTTTCATCTGATAACAAGCTTCTAAAAACTTGAGAATAACAGTTGGAACTCTCATTGGTATTTCTTCATAAAATACCTCTTTGCAGTGTTCCTTATTGTCTAGCTTATTTCCCAGACTGCAGCTGTGAAAAAATAAATAGCTGGAGGTCAGTTGCACTTGCTAAGAAGAATTGTTTTGCTTCTTGGTGCAGAGAAAGTCCCCAGGCAGTTTAATCTGCAAACCCACTGCTGGAACTTGGGGAGCCTTCTGTAGACCACACAGCTCCAAATCACGTGGTCTCCTGACCTGCAGTTCAGAAGGGACTTTGAGGCACCTAGACCAGCTGTGGCACGCCAGGATTGACGAGGGGGACCTTTCAATAATCCTCATTCTGCTAGAGTGGGTATGCTGAGGGGCCAGAGCAGTCACCTGAGGTGGAAGGGAGTGCAGGATGCGTGCCCTCTTTCTACATCCAGGGTTGGAGTGAGTGAGGATGGCTAATAGGGCAACACCATTAGTGAATGCTGGGCTGGTGGTGGATGAGTGAGCTACCAGCGCTGAAAGAGGGAGGCTGCTTTAGAAGGTGGGTGGAAAAAGCAAGGGATCTCTCATGTTGTCTGGTCATGCCATTCAAGGGTAGCTGAGAGATCG